GACGAGTTTGACAGTATGCAGTCGATAAATCGTCAATTAACATTTTCACGTATTCATCCGATGTTTCTTTCAATGTTCGACAACCAGTTACATGTAAATGACCAGTTGTCTCATGCAATCTTTTAGGTAATCTACGAATGAATTTTCTGTTCAACTTTTGTTTTTTTAGTACATGCTTTGATTGCACTGTTCTGGAAATAGCGGTCTCATTGTTATGAAGCTGACAGAAACGAGATGATCGAATAGGGGTTCGACAACATCCGATCACCAGATCTGTCATTTCTTGTGTGTCGACTTTGACATCTTTGAATGCACATATACGACGTCGACTCTTTTGGTGACCATCGACAACTAAACACTTCGAGCAATGCTCACCGCATGAACCAATTAGTGTGCGATGATTCGTCCATAAATAAACAAAGTAAGTTAAAAGACGAGGAAATTGTTCCCATCCCCATTGACTAAAGTGTTCTAAAGAATCAGGAGTTGATACAGAAGCATTGCCCATGGACAAATCAAATTGAATAATGAGATATGCATGAAGTATATTACTTAATAAGCGTCGTTCAATAGGCGCCAGCTGATGATTTCCAAGGTTAAAAGCTTCCTGATTCACGGTACTTGCTAAGCCAATCATAGACAGACCATTATGAACAATTTGTGCTGTATATCTATCGATGATAGAACGTTCAATTGCAATATCACCACCTAAATATATGTAATCACCATGATGTAAACTATTGTGAGTATACACGTTGCATTTATTGCCGCGAGTAAAATTTGGATATATTGATATTGGTGAGTTATCATTATTCGTGATAGATGTTGAGTCTTTATGTTGACAGTTCAACGTATACATAATACCTATACAAAATTTTTGATGGAATTTAATGATGAATTTTCATATATTCAGAATACATTATTAAAAATGAATTAAAAATAATCTAATGTAGGAAATATCTGCAATGACAAGCTAAGATTCATTCAAACTAGCCTTGAGTATTATAGTACCTGGCAAACATTCATTCATTCTTTTGTTTTGTGAGTTTCGATTGCATCAGTATATTCTTTCAGTTTCTAATAGACTAGTGGGAAATTGATGAGTGAAGAAATTTATCATATATTTTATTTAATAAGAATTTAAAAAAATGTATTGAAATGTAATCCAATCTTAGGATTAGGAACAGCTAAGTCAATATATACTTCTGCTTAGAGGTACGGGTCTGATAATTTCATAAATATTTTATTACGTACCGATAACGACAGAACCATTTTGACGATACAAACGAACTCTTTTCTGAATAGCATCTGATGCATCTAAGCTACGATTACAAGTCGGACAAGATGTTCGAAATGGCACTAATAAATGATCATTTTGATGCACCATTATAGATGATAATGAATTCTGCTTGTGCATTGGACGAGTTTGACAGTATGCAGTCGATAAATCGTCAATTAACATTTTCACGCATTCATCTGGTTGATCAGACATAAATTTATGGCGAACTGCTGTTGCTATTTTTGATATACGAAATTTATCAAATGGAGGAATACGTGCATCTTCATTTAAAACAAATACCAATTCAGCAAGACTGAACGAATTCAGCCAGTAACTTACACGCTCAATGATAAAAGGAGAGGTTCGCATTATTTCAATATTATTTATTCTAGAAGTTAATAGATCATTAGAAGATGAAAGCAGAATAGTCTGTGTAAAGTATATTGGTTTTAATCAGTTAAGGTAAAGTTTTCTTTTAAAATATAAAATATAGCTACAATGCTGCATGGCAAAACAGAATTGAAAAAATAGGAACAAGCGGAGAATATTCTGATATTTTCCTGATGGTTTAAATTTAATACTACAAACAACTTCAATTCTTTTTTCTTTCAAATTTTTAATAAATCATGACCATATGAAACTATTCATTATACTCAAAATTATGAGAATGTTGATGATATGAATAATTTTTATTTGAAGTCAGAAATGACATGATACTTCCGATGAGCTCTATTAATACATAATTCTCTATAACTATGACTAGCCGTTGAAATACAATAGAGAAACGTTTTATTATGTTTTTTTTGAATATGCAAGTTTCAAACAGTCGATTATATCCGAGTCTAATAAGTCATGGAACTGTTTTGTCGAACGAAGAAGCATTAATATTTGATCATCAGATAATTCATCAGTATCAGCATTAATTTCTTGATTGTCAACATCAGGTGTTTTGGATAATGCGACGGCAGCAATATAACTATCGCTTAGAATAAATTGTTCATTGCAATTTTGTTTTACGACCGACTGTGGCGGTTGAAATGATGAAGAAGCAATTAAAGAATATGAATTGGTAGTATCACATAAAAGAACAGGTGAACGATCATTACTATCGTTTGCGCGATTTTCAAATGTTCTGCTGAAATGTTGAATAAAATTTGCAGTTACTTTCCTCCTAGGAGACGTTGAAGAAGGTGATGGAAGCGACACTTGCTCTGTGTGAGATAAACGAAGACGTTTGAAACTATGATCTAGTGAATCACTAGTTGTGTTACCCATCTAAATAATATTCGACTAGAAAGTAGAATCAAATCTTTGAGAAGTATAACATTCATCAAAAACATTCTTTTTTTTCAAGAAACAAAGAATCATATCAAACAATAACTTTATTATTCAAAGAAACAAGAGTTATGTTCGTTGTTGCAAATTGCAGTTGACCTTATAAGAAAAAAAACATTATAACTTTCTATTGATTGTCTATGATACCTTTGAAACATTGAACCAGCAATTCTCTTAATAGAATATTTTGATTGATTTGTGCTGAAAAGCTTTTGGCCTAAAAATAAATAGAAGTAGGCATATTATTAAGAACAACAGTGCATGCTGTACAGACTAAGTCACCCCAAAATACTATCGTAGCATCACTACTATCATCCGACACCATAACAACACGTCGATGAAAAAAACTATTCCTTTTTTGAACGTAAATAAAGTCATTGTCACCGATCGAGTTTATTGTAACTGATAGATCTAAATTTGTTCATGTTATCAATACTTGTTGAAACAACATGATCTATAACTAACCGACGCATTTACCGACATCGCTTAAAGAAATGCTGGAAATTTTAACAACATTGAAAGAAGTATTCAAGTTTTGAAACAAATCACTACAAATTGGTTGAACAACAGAATCCGTCGTTAAACTTATTTCAAAATTATGAGATAAATGGTTATACTGTCTGTTACTTCGTTGTGTAACAAAATGACGCAGTTGGTAAGCCTTTAAAATTAAACAACATATTGGATAAAGTAAATAAATAAAAAAAAGCAAATAAAAAGAACTGATAAAAAAATAACCTGGCCAACAGCAATCGCTTCAAAGAAAATTTCTGTGATATAATTAAAAGCTTTGCATCGAATTTCAGATGAAAAATCAGCTATGTCAAAGGTAAAAACTTTTCCCTTGCCATTTGCAAATATGCAAAGTTCGCTCTTGCGAATAACACGGCCTTCTATAACAATACTTATAAAGCAGCAAAGCTTGCACTGTACTCGATAAATCGAAAATTTGCATACTTCTTCGAAGTTGGTGCTGAAAGTTGAACTATTGGAATCTTTTGAGATTCAAGAATCGACAGATCCGTCCCTGAAGAGACAGTACAGTCATGAGAATTTTGTTCTGTTGATATAATAGTCGAAGTTTGCGTTGGGTGCGATGGATATGCCTGCGAATTAGCAATGCACTTCTCTTCGTGTGAAATCAGATGCATCTCTATTACTTGTAGAACATATCTAAAAACAAGCATTAAAAAAATACAAGAAAGGCTAGTACTAACTTTCCCTGAGGATGTTTCAACACGATGAGCTTCTCAATACGAACGATCGCAAATATATCTACGTTTAGTGCATTCAATAATGAGATATCGATGACAAAACCTAGTCAAATATTATAATATAAATACAAATGCTTAAAATTTTAGTACCTCGGTAATCATTTTCCCCGTCAGACAGTTTGAGGCGGGCCCAAAAAACTCCATTAACATCACCATTTAATTGATGAATATCCTAAATAAATAGTTAAACAATATACGACTAAAAGCATGAAAAAACTCACTAAAACCTGTAATACTAATGGTAAATCATCAATGTTTCCATGCATAAGACGCTATAATAACAAATTAACGACATAACACGTAAAGTAAATTGAAGGAAAAAAAACGATCGCATACGCTAATTGACGAAGTATTTAAAGCCATAACGATTTATCTGAAAAAATTGAATAAAATTTTACTACGTCAAAAGCATATTGACTGATAATATGACTAGTAATATAGGAATGCTGCAAGATAGAAACTTTTCGAAGAGATGTCGGATGAGTTATAAATGTAATTTAGAAAATTTTAATGGATGCTGTTTTTATTTCTTAAGTCTCATACACAAATGAAAAAAAAAGTAAAGTAAAGTTTGTAAGATAAACTCACAAGAAAAGAAAAAGAACTCTCGTCACAACTTATTCGACGTCAATAATACAATAGTAATTATGATTCGAACTAGTATGCACAAAGTTGCAAAAAAATACAGCGACTAACAAAATACTAAATCAAATGAAATAAACATTTTCATAACAAACATCTTACTTTTTCACATCTCAGTCTTTTCAATACGAAAAATAGATCAACACTATTATTTATACAACTAGTCTTAAGAGTTATTATCTTAGAGTCTATTTACGAATTCTTTTATTTGAAGATTGTTCCCCTTCAGTATCTTGCCTATCAATTTCCAGATTCTTTTTATTAGGATCCCCATTTTGATCGTTTATAATATCTAAAACTAAAATAAATATTTTCTTTGCTTTATAATGAATATAAAATATTAAAAAAATATGGTACCATTTGATTGTTGATTTTGTGTTTTTCTAACTTTCAATTTCGACCTTGTTCTACCAGCTGTTGGACTGAAGAAAAAAGTACTTGAAGTATTTTTTTTTCCTTTATGAAGAATATTATTATTGTCTGAGTTAGTATTTTGTGCTGAATCCGTAGGTTGCTGTTGACGAATAGTGTCAAGATTGTTTAAATCAACGCTTTGCTCAGCATTAAAAAGGTCAATATTATTTAAATCATTAGATTGTTGTTCATGAAAGACATTGATGACATCTGAATTAATATTTTGTTCTGAATCAAAAAAATGAACAATGTTTGGCTCGTTATATTCTTCTTCAGGAATACTATGGATACTGTGTGAATCAAGATTCGGTTGTTGATTAACAAGATTTAAGTTATCAAATATATTTTGCACTTGTGGGAAATTACTGCAAGATGAAGATGTGGTTAAGTGATCTACGTGAGATGAACCAATTGTAAGTATTGCATTTTCATCAATAATATTTTGAAACAGATTATTATTTTCAGTTGTAACAGCCATAGCTAAAAATTAATTAACCATCGACAAAGGAAAAACATTAAAACAAAATGGCAATATAATATATCAATATCTTGATTATTGCACAAGCTTGTCTTCGGTTTAATTGTTTTTGGTAAGTTAATGAATGTGCTAAAATCACGTTCACCATATTCTGAACGCTTTAATACTTGAATAACATCTTCTTGTACAGTTCCAACTGCTTCTAAAAGCATCGATTCACACGACTTTTTGTACAAATCAATCGAAATTGGATTTTGTCGATACGTGTACTCTGATAGAATTGATGAAAATTGTTCTTGTGAATCCATATCATTCTCAAGAGGTAATCGTTTTACATACACACAGGTGGTTCTGGATGCATGCTTGATTCCTCGTTCACACATTTCCAATAAATTTGTTTCGACTAACGTTGTTATAACTTGTTTTAGAAGTCCTCCACCAGAATGATTGTGGATCACTGCAGACTTGTGTAACTGCTTCATTGTGAAGCATACACTAGGGAATAAGATTATTGATGCTGCAACATCATTATGATTTAATATTTGTCGCTGACGTTCTGAAAATTTTATGAAAAAGAACTTTTTTTTATAACACTTCTTAACAACAAAGATTAGTGTCGTTCATTGTGATTCAAGTGCGAACTTTGCTAATTCAACGACGAAAGCTTGTCTTTCTATTTTTTTAAAATATTTCACAAGCAGAAAACAGGACATTTCTTAATACAGTCAACTGTTACGATGATCGAAAATCCTTGTGACTCATGCTAGGAGTTTTACAACTTTATTTAATACTATTTTTAAATGATGTATGATAAAACTATATTAAAAAGATGACTTACGTTTCATAGCAACAAGTGCCTGATCATTAGAAAAACTTTTATTTTCATGCTGTGAAACCATTACAATTTGACGACCTATCGATGAAACTTTTGGTGCATTAGTTCCATCAAATAGCAAGATAAATTGTCGTAAATTGCATGACATTATATCGATGGCACGTAAAACAACATTTTTCGAAATTTTAATAGATTCAGGATCATGTACCTGATATAGAGGAACATAATTTTCTTTGAATATTTCCGAGATGTTTTCAACAAAATCATGGTCGATGGAGCCATTCTCTGGAAAAAATTGATGTTGGTTAATATAGTCTTTAGATAATTGGAAACCTATTTCAATGTTTTGCAAAAATGTTGCTATCCGATAAGCGTGTTGCACCGTTTTTCCTAGCCTAGCTGATAAACTTTCATTGTTATTACGTTCTTCAAAGCCTAAAGTAAAATATTCAATACTTGGTATTTTGCCTGGAGCAACATTACTCTTTTGTTTACAGGTGTTCCCCCAGTCAATCATCTCGTTAATGGCATCTTCGTCAAATGAAAATATAGAATTTTCGATAAAAGATAATATAATAGCAAATTGTGCCAAAGACGGATACTTCTTGTTGTCTATTTGTCTCTGTATTAATTTATCAGGTATCACTGGTCCATCCAGTGGCCAAAAGATAAAACGACCCATTGCTGGATCGAAACAGGCTCCTGCTTTGATTCGGATTATCATATTCGATATTATGTCTCCAGTTGAGCAACCCTATAATAGCAATACAGCAAAAGTAATAAAAAACAATTATTTTACAAAATCGGTTAAGTCATATAGCTTTTTATGCTACTAAAAACCCCTAAGGTAATATGTACATTTTTTAATTTAGTTGCTATTGAAGATTCATTATCAATTATCTCTTCTTAGTGGAACTAATTATCACGATGAATGCTTGTTATCACACGGAATATACATTAGTCATATCGATACATGAAGACTAAAACATCAACAACAAGTATCGAATGTCTTTTATACTGCATCAACTCATGTAAGTGTACTAACTGTGCAATCTATTTTGCTAAAATGAGCTCTAGATCCTCAAAGCTCGTGAAAAATTGAACATACCAATATATTGAGCTTCGAAGACTTTACCGACACTGACCGATTGGACAATTGTCTAATATAAGCATGTGATACTCGATCAAATAATGTCATCATGAGTCCTGGAAAAAAAGAATTAGCGATGAGAACGAAAAACAATCAACGAACCTCTACAATTCATTTCTGCAGATGTACGAATATTATTATTGGATAAAAACAGTCCAGCGTCTGCAAATGTCATGTCTGCTTCATCGCAGATAAGAAGACGACAGCATTCATCCAATGATGACATCAATCCAGCTTTAGACATTTCATCTAAACAAGGATTTCCCTCACTACCTAGATTGATTTGGTTCGTTGATCGAAATTTCATTGGCCGATTTAATACAACCGTATTCAGCATATCACGCAGAATTCTTGTTAAGTCAGATTTTCCAAAAGCTAGAACAGAATCTTCTCCGTTAATACCTGGTGTTCAACAAAACTTACATGAACGAGCAACAACAATGTTGAATAAATTTGTTGGTATCTTGTTACTAACTGAATTTGCTCGTAAAACAAACGAAAATTCTAACGTCGCAGCAACAAAATTAAGCAACGCAATAGCAAAAGAATCTGGATGTATACTATGAATATCGGCTAGCTCCTTGATGTAACTTTCCACAGGTTCCGAAAACATAACACCTGGAAAAATCTTTAATTTACTAGCTTGGTCGATATTCCGACATATAAAAGTCATATCAAATCCAGAACAGGAGACTTGCGTAGTGATGCACTAGTGAAATGAAATTTTACTACTTTTAACGAACTATCTTGTTATTCGATCTCAAGAGACTGGAAACACCATACGTGACCAATCAGAAGACAAAAAAATGTAGGAAAATATTATTATCCTAAATTTTTTTTTTATTGTTCCAATACGAAAAATCAACGAAATCTGTCACAAAAATAATTTCACAGAGACTAACTGAATGGGGTCGCTACCTATATCTTAGCACCCATAACAGAATTCTGTCAGAATTCTGAAAAAAAACATAGTATAATACAATGAGAACGTCCCACATATGAACATACTTTACTGTTCACGCGTTTTCTGAACATTAATTGTATTCATTGCAGGGTTAAGAATCTAATGAAAAAAAGAAACCAAAACCAGTCACGGATTGTGAGAATATTAATACAAATATGAAAACTACTTGAGACACGACAGGGTCTTTCATTTAAACATTTACATCCGATTCAATATCTATGCTTCCAATTCAACCCTATTCCTCATTAAGTAACCGAATGACTCTCCAGTATTAAACCAAAGCACCTGATTAAGAGTGTCACACTTTTACTTTTAAAAATTCATGTCTCGACTTCATAAAGTCTTCTAACTTTAAATTCAATTCTTTCAAATTACAATTGCTTCAATTTCAAAAGCTAGTAGATAAACATAAATTTTGATTTCATTGATATTATTTCACGTCAAATTCGATTATATTCGTTATTTTATAGAGATAAAGATGATCACTACTCTACAAACTGTGCTATTCAATATAATTCTACCAGTATCACGCTATTCTGAAGATGAAAGACGCCGAACTCCGCCTAATCTGTAGACGAAACCTGACTCCAATGAACGAATTTCAACCTAAAATACAACGTTCCCTTATGATTTAGTAATTACTACAGTTAAAATCACGCATTTTCCTAATAGCAATTACGATTATCGATCGCAAAAAAATCTATAAATTTTAAACTTGAACTTAAGCAATACAAACTTAAACAATTCCACAACCCAAAAACAAAAAATTTAAATAAACTTATTCTATATGACAACCGATAAAATTCATTTCAAAATTCAACTTCACGAAATTAAATTCACCATCAAATCAATTCTTCAAAAAGTTCCTTTCGACTTGAATGCACACCAAATTAACACCCACATATAGGATCGCCATGACTAAATTCTATCCCTATTAAACACAGCAAAACCTAAATTTCCAATCAACAAAAAATACAGTTCTAACAGAATTCTTCTTTCCTTCCAAAGGAGTGTGTGTATACACTAACACAGAATTCTGTAGGGGAAGCAGAATTCTGACAAAATTCTGCTGGGAAATCATCAATTCTGCTTAGAATTCTGCTTTCTACCCAAGGTAGTGTGTGTATACACTAACACAGAATTCTGTAGGGGAAGCATAATTCTTTATTGGTAATGTGCAATTTGTGTTTAAGTGATATAGGTATTATTCTTACAGAATTCTGCTGGTTGTTCTTGGGAGAATTCTGCCACCCCTCTTTTTCGGCCGATGGGATGGCGTTGGAGAGCTCAGAAACAAGTGAAGATAATATTTCTCAAAGAAAAAGATCAATGCAAGATTGTCATCAAGGCTCGTGAAAAGAATTACAAAAAAGTACATAAGGAGCTTAAGTCTTTTGTGCGATGGCTTCAATTATGCGTAGCTATGCATTTGGATTCCGGTGTATTGCCACGTCGTTATATTGATTCTGTTACAAAACAACCTTCGCCTGATATTGAAGACCGCATTAAACGTATAACAGACACAACAATGACGCCGGTTGGTCTATGGTCAAGGCTACGCGGTCCGGCTGCAACACGAGAAACTCGAATGGAAGTTGTCGCATGGATAGCTGTATGTATATTTCACTGTAAATTAGAAGGTGGCTTCGTTCGCGATTGGATAGTAGCCAACCAAACCGCTCGACCACCAACGTCTATACAACCCAAACAATGGGTTACACGCCCAAATAAGATTCCTTGCATAGACAAAGCCTGTATTCCATCGGATCTCGATTGCCAATTACCAATAGATCACTATTTTGATATTGAGCATTTTCTTGATGAAATGCATAAGTATGAAATTCAAACAGAAGTATTTCGAGAAAATTGGCGCTATATTTTACTTTTTGATGAAGATTATCCTACTGGTCCGTTTACCATGGATTTAATCGAACATCACATAGCAGCAACGCACGATCGAATTGATTTTGACGTCAATAATCTTTATGTCATGCGTGGTTTTTGTACAGACTTGGGACAACGTGTTAATCTAAGTCATGAGCCATTCTTGATTGATTTAGAACAAATTGTTCAAAAGATAAAACAAAAACAGTTCAGCATACTTCGTCCACTTGATGACATAATGAAAGTTCGCCGTGATAAGATGATAGCTCGTGGATGGATACAAATTGGAGAAGAACAAAACTATATACCGCCTCCAAAAGACAAGAGTAAAGACAAATTCGTTGTTACTGAAGTACCGAAAAGCTCACCTATCTATCAGTTGATCGAAAACAAAATGCAAACTATCCCTAACGTGAAAGTTCAAAAATTGGTGCAAATTCGTAATCCAGGTCTCGATGACGTATATCATTCAATGAAAAACTTAATTAGTGGTCAATGTGTCAATAACAATGCAAACGAATTATATCTTTTTCATGGTACAAGTGCTGATAACGTCGAAAGTATAATGGAAATGGGTTTTGATGATCGCTATTTTAGCAGTGATGGCCTTTACGGTATGTCGAAATGTTTTCTAAGAATGAAAATTGTGGCCTCTTCTTTAAATTTAATTGAAATATAAGTTGGGTTTAGCCATCAACAGACAATAGCTAAATGCACATAGTTGAACATGTATGCCGATGCCATAGAAGGGCATTTCAAATAAGACATGTTTAAAATGAAATTCATTGTAATGAGCCCAGTGGCGAATAGCTGATTGAGAAACTGTTCTAATTTGATTTGTAAATAATAAAACATCTTTACGTTTTTCTCTTCAATTGAGAGTGCTTTCCTCGTAGAACCGAAAATAGAAACAGTTTTATTCCATACTTTCCTGTTTTTGTTATAGGTCACGGGGCTTACTTTGCTGGCAATCCTCTCAAGTCTCATCAATATACGAAAAAATCAGAAGTGGAGCAAACTTGTAAAATGTTTTATTGTAGAGTAACACTTGGACAATTATACGATATCACAGTAACAGATCGCTCTCTAGTTGCTGCCCCAAAGAACTATCACTCCGTTTGTGGTTTGGCAAATCCAAGCATGCCTGAATACATTGTTTATCGCAATGCTCAAGCTTTACCATACATTCTTATTACTTACACAGCATGACCAACACTGTTTTTCACTCCATTATTAATGTCTACGTTGAGACAAAATGTGCCCATTGTGTAACATCTGTTTGTGAAGGATTTTCTCAATTAATTTTGTTTTTGCTCAGTTCAAATAAAAATCTTGCTTTTCGTGTAGAAATCTGGAGTCATCAATTTTAATTATTCATAGAAGAGAAACAATATAGTCTTTCAGATGAACTTTGCTTCCCAATAGCCCAGTGGTTTGCTAGTACTTTACTCACATGTAAGAAAAGGCCATTTCGTTTTTATCGTACTGAATGACGTAAACTTTATAATTTTCATGAATTTACTGTGCAATAAAAATCATACTTTGTGAAATTGATTAATTTGGAAGACGCCGACATCTTTTACTGTGATGTACTAGTAATAGGAGCATCAGCATAAAATTTCGAGGCAATTTCTTGTGTTAACTTGTGACTGATTAAGAATATTTTTTGTTCATGATAGTGGCTGTTCGTTTCCTTCTATTATTATATTCAGGCATGCACCAACACTAAAACCAATTTTGAGTTTTGGGTGTGGGTGTGGCTGTAGATAGAGAAGTTTTATTCTGAACCCACACCCATGCTTACACCCACATTCACGGCCACATCCTCAAGATTGGACAGATTCTGTTGACATAGCTCGGTGACGCGAGGTATGACATGATACAAATCTGTTCTCGTACGTGCATGAGCTCTTGTTGCTTGTTACGACTCTCAGGATGTTTCCTGATCCTGCGCACAGGTGAATTGCATACAAAACAAAATTCAATAAATCGCGTTTATTAGAGAGCAAAGGGAGAAAGTGGCGGAACAACAATGTAAATGAGCTCATTGAATAGCAAAACGGTGTACTCGACGATTTCCCCTATCGACGACATAGAGATTGCCGTGTCGATCGAATGACAAACCGAAGGGTGTATTGAGTTGGTTCGATTGTTCTCCTGCGCCATCTCCACCAACAAGGATACTTCCCCGTGTGGCTCCTTTGAGCCAATGCATGATTCGATCATTTCCCCCATCAGCCACATAGACAGTGCCCACTTGATCGACAATGACTCCTTGAAGTAGCCACGACAATGCCTTGTTTTGCATCTTCCACCCATTTTATCACACGATCATTTCCCCGATCAGACACGTACACTGAATGATCTCGATTGACGAATACGTATCGTGGGTAAGAGAGTTGATCGAGACTACTTCCACTTCCATTGCCACCTACAACCACTGTTCCTTGAGATTCTCCTCTTCGCACTGTAAAAAAAAGGTTTTCCACGGAACTAAAAAAGGATCTGAGCACGGGCACACGGTCAAATCCTTTTTAGGTTTCGTAGAAAAAAGGTTCCCTATGGAACTTCTTCTTGGTAAATGGAAAAAATGGTTTCGTACACATGGTTTCGTATAAAACTTTCCGAATCATATTTATCTGATGAAAAACCCCTTGGAAGTGATGCATGGTTTTCGAGTTGAGCTGCCGTACATATGGTCGATTTCAGTGAGATAAGACAAACCCCTGAAGGATGGCTTTCGTTAGTTCTTCGTTCGAAAGTTATCCTTATGTTATCAAAATTTCAGTGAAATGCCAAGGTGGAAACCTTTGTAGCTGTCGAATTGATTTTGAGTTTGAGCCCACTTTGTCAGATAGATCTTAGTGAAATATAAAAAGCTCGAAATGAACGATGGGTCATCAGTCTTCTGTAGAAAGTTGCAGACATTTTCGTGAATTTTAACCTAGTGTCACAGATATCAGCGAATTGAATGAGACTATTTCTATTTGAGGTTTCATGAAGAGAAGAATTGGTTTATCAGGAAAATGTCCCAAAAGGTTTATTTCACAAGAATGAATATTTCCTAGGGATAGCAAAGTTCACGAAAAATACCACATTTCATCATCCTTTTTTAGACACTAGTGGTATTGTTGAACTTTAAAAACTCTGGAACAGGTGTGTGCTTTTGAAAAGAACCTTTGAAACATTTCCCTGATAAGTCAATTACTCTCTTCATGAAATCTCAAATAGAAATAGTCTCATTCATTTCATTGATATCAGCCACACTATAGGTTAAAATTCAAGAAAAAGTCTGCAACTTTCTATAGAAGGCTTATGAGTCATCGTTCATTCCGAGCTTTTTATATTTCACTA